TCTTACCTAAGGAACCGGGCCTGGAAGATCGCAGCCGTTAGGGTTAAACCTCAACAGCCTCAACACATTTGCAATATACCTCCAAACCATGGCATACCTGTCATGCAACAGTTTACATATTAGTACTCCTAACGCGTTCTTGGTTCAGCAAGCGCAATGTTTCAATCGCGGACATACCAGCTGAAATGAATTCAATCTCCACAATCGGTTCCTGCCACTGAAAGTATTTTTGGTGCTATCGCTTAGCTTCATCTACGTAGATAAATTCATTGCTGTTGCAGGATCTTGGAAAAAAGTAAACCCAAATTCTCATCAGCCAGGAGGATTTAGAGAAGCTTTGATGTTTCAACGACAGCACCGATTTCGCTGTTGTGAGGCCAATACATTAAGAAACCACCGAAGGGACAAGTGAGATACAGGGATTCATCATTTATGGCCGAGCATTTGGGGCTTTATGATTACGCACAGCACAACTCACTGTGATGGGCAGCGTGACGAATGGCCATACGTCAATCTTCACATCACAGAGTTTGGAGTACCTACTTATTTAGCGTGACAATCAGCCTAACCTCTGTGATTATAAAAGGAGCTTCATTTTCAAGAATACGGTTGTTAAAAGTTTCGTAATGTTGTCCTCTTGGGATTGGTAATGTCAGGCCTAAATAGCGGCTTTCAGGACCCGATAATAATAAAAGTTAGACGCAAGGATCTTCAATATCCCTTCAGTTTTATTGTTCCATTAGAAAAAAATTTTTATCGGCAGAAGAGTAGCCCTCTAGGCACAACGTGCGGAGCGAGGCCCGTAACCGATCGGCTAATCCACATCCACCAATAGGTTTTATCTCTGACGATGGACTCTAGAAGGAGCCCGAAAGCTCAGACAAGTAAAAGTATGATTCCGGCGATCGCAACGCCGTCTACTTCTCTATCTACACACGTACCTGGGATGCGAACATTTGCCTCAATTTGTGAGGTTTAAAATTGTTTGCAACTATTTTACTGTTGTAAACAGTAGATGTGATCAGCATGTGTATATTTATCTGCAGAAACCGCACTTCCATTCAAAGAAGATGACGCAGAGGTGAACTGCCCTGATGTATAGAAGCCACCACATATCGAGTTGTGCGCTCTTAACATCATAGATGTGTTTTTTTTGTAATCGAATATGGCATAAAATTAGTCCTTAGCGATCGCCAGTCGATAAAACTTAAAAAGTATCTTGTGGTGCTTTCAGAAAAGAATTTCGTCTAGATCTGTATCCACCCTGCAAAGGCTAGGCTGGTATGCGCTGCCCTCAGGGACATGATTCTATCAGATGATTTTGGAGGACGTGTTTGAATTTCTAAATTTAACGATGGTGGGGCCACTAAATTGCAAGAGGCCCCCACCTAAGTTTTTAATGGAAGTCGTAGTTAAAGGTTTAATGCTTGATTAAGACGTAGGTATTGCGTGCTGGATGCGTGAAAGGTGGATAGTAGAAAATAAATTAAATTATATTATATTCGAAAAGCATCAGGAAAGAATAAAATTAACCAGCATAAACTCCTTCTGGTCAGCAAAGGATGCCTATTGACCACTAAGAATATTAGAAAAAACTCCTGTTTGCTAACATAATGAAGGAAATCGTGGGAAATGCCGAAATTTGACCCGCTGAAAATTTGCAAGTATAAGGTTACTATCAATACCAACCCTCACAAGGTTTCTCTCTGGATTTCTACCCTTCTAAATTAGCCTATTGAAGTCTCAACAACCAGGTCGAATTGATAGATGCTTCAACCGAAGGCAAAAATATGTGCAAATAACTTGTTCAGTTCTTCTTACGGCATCGCGGTTGACCACAAACTTACTTGGCCTTCAGATGTTTAGCACAAAGATCGCAGCGAAAGTGGTCAGGACAGAAGACCTTATTCGCCCACTGGATTGATGCTTCGAACAGTGGTTCCCGACAGACATGACAGATCTCTGCGGTCTGCTGACCAAAGTGGGCACGACAGTAGAGCAGGCCCGATTCCGCATAGAATCGCTCACCGCTCAGGATGCTGTCGCACTTGGTGCAGGTCAAATGTTCGGGATGCCAGGCTTTGCCAAGGGCGAAGATTGCTCGGCCATCGATTGGGCGGCTAGAATCCACGAAAGCGGAAATAAAAGATGAGGGTCAAACGTTATAATACTCGCACAAATTTGACGCCTTTTCGAAACCACCAGCTGAACTGAAGATTTCAGATTATTGTAACTAGTCAAGCAGTGGGTAAGGATGATTTATATGGGACCCTAAACGGGACACGAGAACATGGAGCGTCCACAATGCAGGTGCCTTTGCGCTAAATTGTAGGTTCGGGTTAGGGTGAGTGTTAAATGTAGGTTTAGAATTTAGAGTATGGTCAGGGTTAAAGTTATGGCTATGTTTTACGTTTATGCTAGGGCTAGTGGTAGGGCTTGGATCACGGAATATGTACCCTTTCTGGAATTATGCACAGGGCGATTTTTATTACTTGGAAGAAGCGGTCTCATTCTCGCCTCCCGTTTAGGGTTCCTGTACGCAATCGTCACTCAACAATGAACTCGAAAAATGAGTTCTGTTGAGCGTACTGAATGCAAGAACTGCATATGTAAGCCCAGTGTAAAAATATATCACAGTGACTTCTGTAATACAGAAGAATATTAACATAAGTATTATTAGTAGGGCAGATAAACACGGCAATTAACGGAATCTACAAAAGGCAATGAGACAACTCACACTTCTGCAGGATGCATAGTTTATTACTTCAATGAGGTAACGTAACGGGCCGCACAAATATACGAATTAGGGGCTTGCAAATCAGCAAAAATGTAATCTAAGGTTATTGGTTAAAGAAGGCCAGATCGGAAAAAATGGTATGCGGCAGGAAAACTGAATCCCAAATCTAGCATGAACCCTAACCCCCAACCCTAAACCTCTCCGTACTTCAAAGCTTTAACCTAACTCTAACATGAGAAATAACTCTAGCTCTAACCGCAACCTAAAACCCAAATAATAACCATACAATAAAATGCCTACCTATATCAAATAAGTAGGCATATTATATAAATTGAACAAAGAATTAACTTAAACGCTAATTTGATAGCATCCTGTGCTGTGGTTCAGTTGAGTTGAGTTCAGTTTTATTAGGGAAATATAGGTAAATACCTTTGAACTCCCTCTATGTACATAGCTATGATACAGAACATGTGGCGTTGCCAGTGATGGAACTGCGT